AGCTTCGGCCATCTCGGCCTCGGTGCAGTTGATGGCCGGGTCCTTGATGCGGAACCAGTTGTCTGCGTACCACCCGATGAGGAACCACACGTACTTCTTGCCATAGAGCTTCTCCTTGTAGACCTGGGGGGGGGCTCCATCCAGCCAACCAGCCAGAGATCCATCATCCATCCATCCATCCATCCATCCATCCATCCATCCATCCATCCATCCATCCATCCATCCATCCATCCATCCATCCATCCATCCATCCATCCATCCATCCATCCATCCATCCATCCATCCATCCATCCATCCATCCATCCATCCATCCATCCATCCATCCATCCATCCATCCATCCATCCATCCATCCATCCATCCATCCATCCATCCATCCATCCATCCATCCATCCATCCATCCATCCATCCATCATCCATCCATCCATCATCCACCCATCCATAGATCCATCCATCCATCCTCCATCCCACCACACATCTACCCATCCTTCCATCCATTGATCCCAACATCTCCCTACCCACCAACCCACATCCCTTTGTTCCACCCCACCACCCACCACCCCACAACCACCCAACGTCCCCATGTCCCACCCTTCACCTCGCAGAAGACCTTCCGCGCCTCTGTCTCATAGAAGAGCCCCACGATGATCCGGGCGTCCTGGCGCTGCAGGAGACAATGACCTGGGGTGGGACTTCTGCTGCTGAGGGTCCATCATTCATCGTCATCCAATATCCATCCATCATCCATCATCCATCCATCATCCATCATCCATCCATCACCCCAATGGCTGCAGGTCCATGGGGAGGACACAGGGTGGGAGGTGGGGACATGGACCTTGGCCATGGTGGACGTGGACTCACCTTGAGGTTGCGCACAGGCGCCGCGGGGTCGGAGAAGAAGCTCTGGCGGAAGGTGATCTCCAACCCGGCCTCCTTCACCCGCTGGTCCAGGTCATCCAGGGTCTGGTGGGGAGACCAAGGCAGGAGAAGCAGGATGGGACCAGGGGAAGACAACACAGAGTGAGTCCAAGGTGGGGTGGCACCAAGCAATGGGCTTCTTGGTGGTGGTAGGGTTGGGGTTGGACCTGGACACCTTCACGATGGGGTGGTTGTTGGGTGGGTTTGGGCTGGTTTTGGGGTGGGGTTTGCAAGGTCGGTGGCTGGTCATTGTCTGGTTGTTGGGTGGCCATTGGGTGGCTGTTGGGTGGTCATTGGGTGGTCATTGGGTGGGTTTGGGCTGGTCATTGGGTGGTTGTTGGGTTTCTGTTGTGTGGTCACTGGGTGTTCTTCAGGTCAATGTTGGGTGGTCATTGGGTGTTCATTGGATGGCTGTTGGGTGGTTGTTTGGTGTTCATTGGGTGGCCATTGAGTGGTCATTGGGTGTTCATTGGGCGGTCATTGGGTGGCCATTGGGTAGTCATTGCGCAGTCATTGGGCGGTCTTTGGGCAGTCATTGGGCGGTCATTGGGCAGTCATTGGGTGGTCGCTGGGTGGTCATTGGGTGGGCATTGGATGGTCATTGGTTGGTCATTGGGTGGTCACTGGGTGGCCATTGGGCAGTCATTGGTGGCCATTGGGTGGTCATTGCACAATCATTGCGCAGTCATTGGGTGGTCATTGGGTCGTCGTTGGGTGGTCGTTGGGCAGTTGGTGGTCGTTGGG